TGTAATCTTCAATATTTCTAGACCCGATATGTTGAAGTCGAAATTCTTCCTTCTCTAAGCAGGTCAGTTCTTTCCATATTTCACCTTGCCGTGGAAGCTGATCTTCTTTGAATATATGGATATCTTGAATTTCAGCAGTGATGGCTTCTGCATTTGTCTTTGCAGTCTGACACTCTGGAGAGTCTTCATCAACCAGGATTCCCAGTTTATAGGCAATGTCTGCCATCTGCTCTATTGTCATCTTAATCTGTGAGTTCTTCACCACATCTCTGACTTTTTTTCTCAAAGTTTGTACAAAATCTGCATCATTTTTCTGTTTCTTCTTAGTTATGATGTTGTTGTTACTCAAGCCCAATTTGTTTGCTACTGTTCTTAAAACCTCGTTATTACTTTCACCATTGCCAACCAAGAAGATCTGTGTCTTTTGGTTTATGTTAGTGAGTAGACTGCTCTCAGACTCATCCAAATCGCCGAAGAACACAAAAACTGCTACAGATGTCTGGCACAGAAAGGAGTATTGTGTTTCAAAAGATGCAATGTCCCCACGAAGGTTAGCTACAGCCACTGGCTGACTGAAAATATCAATGTTTGTGTTTCCACCAGGAAGATACCAAGTAATTTCAGTCAGTCCGTTGGATATTGCTCGTGGACTGTCACCACACTCCATGTTGCGGTGAACAAAGGTGTCATGGTACTGCTGAGAATTGCTCAGAAGTTTATTGAGAATCTCTGACTTGGACGAGGAGCACTCACCCAGTCTGACAAAAGAGATCATTGGTAGTTCAGAGAGAACGATTCTGTCTTCAATGAAGCCCTTAGACTCTGACAGAGACTGAGCTCTGTACTTTTTAACAATGTCTCTCATGGCCCACAGCATGAGTGTGCACTGATTGGTGTCACAATTGGGAAGCAGCAGAGGAACAGAGAACTGACACATGGACATTTTTAGTGCCATTTCCTGCTGTACAAAACCATCAGAACACAGAAAGAGAGCAGTGATTATGTCGAGTGGGTTTGGCATGTCTGTGATCAATGATTGATCATTATGTTTTGTCCTATTTCTAGCTGTGACATTAACCATCATCAGTTCCTTTAGAAAATACCATGGGAGGTCTGATTTATACTTGGCAGGTTCATCATTAATCATCTGCTCATCAATCTCAAGTAATTTGCTACGTGATTGTTTCTCCCTGTAGTACCGCTTCAAGTTCAAGTCCTCCAATATGCTCACCAGGTGCCTCCCTGTTGATATAAAAAATTTTCTTATTTCTGTAACCATCTTAATGACTATGTTTCTTACACATACAAATCTAATAACATTGTTCGCATAAAATGACCACTTCCTGTGGTAGTCTTAAAGCTTTCATATATATACATAGGTATATCGTATCATTGTTCAAGTGTGTACTACACATTGGGGTTTTTTTTTTTAAATCGTTTGTTTTCCTAGAAATTAAAATCATCAAATTATATACTTTTATACTTAGTTTAAACAATGTTTAGTTACTTGTTTATGCAAAGTATTCATCACTGTGATTTGTTTTGTATTATAAAAGCTTTAAAAAACAAAACAAATAAAAGCTATAAAAGCATTTCTTTAAGTGTAGTTTCTTAGTTTTAGTGTTGTGTTGATAGGTTCATTTTAGGGGTATCGTCTTCT